TGCCAGCTGCCGCTCCTGTCCAAGTGAGCAGCTGGCTGGGACCTTTGGGCACCCCTTGCTATCGTGGCGAACAGCTGCTGCTGTTCTTTCCCTTTTCCCTTGCTTGCCGGCCCGGTGCGCGTCTGCTGCCTGAGCGCCTCCCTGAGATGGGCCGCTGTGGCCCTGTCGGCACCTTTCCAGAAACCCTCGATTTCATCTGATCTTCATCTGATTGTCTCCCAGTAGAGCCCCAGATGGGTGCCCCTTCCTGAGCATCGCTCAGTTCCGTGTCTGCCCCTTGTGAGCCGCCGGCTGCCGCATGCGCGGCACTGGCATCAGCCTCTGCCCCTCCCCCTTTCATTGATCGTCACTCATACTTTGCCGATTCATGTGTATGCGGCGCGCGCGCGCGCCCCTTTTTCTGCCCTCTGCGGTGCGTCGCGCCTGAGCTCGGCGCACGCTCATCACTGTCTGATGCCCTCGGCTGTTTCAGCCCCCTTGCCCGTGCCAACTCGGGTGCGCTCCGTGTCGCAATCAGCACTGCAAAGCTCTGTAGCATATGTGCGGGTGTAACATGAAGAGAATGCAGGCAGGTGTGTTGCTGGCCATCAGACGAAAACGATTAAAAAAGAATCAAATGCAGCAGCTGCTGCCACCAGCCAGTCTCCTCTTACGGCGCCATTGGCAGGGACTGGCTGCGTGACAGCGGCACCAGCATTGCGTGGAGCTCTGCAACCACAGCGGACGCAGCCGGCCTGCACGCAACACACGGACAGGAGACAAGTGCGCTGAGCTTTGCAACAGGAGCCATTTGCGGCCTTCTGGCGCAGCGCAGGCAGGCAGGCAGGCACATGCGCATGTATGCTCGGGCATGCCCCCACGGAAGCCGGCCGCGGCCCGCGGCCTTCGTGCCAGCCCGGCGCTGCGCTGCCCACCTGTCGGCGGCGTCGTGGGCCCAGCACCGCTGCATCAGGCTCGCCAGCGGCGGGGGGCAGGACGGCGGTATGGGCGGGCGGTACCGCTTCTGCGTCACCAGGAAGATGATCTGCATCGCGTTCCTGCCGGGGTGCGCCTGCTGCCCCACTTCCAGCTCCCACATCACCATGCCCAGCGCAAAGATGTCAGTGGCGCGGTCCAGCCGCCCCTCGCACACCAGCTCGGGGGCCGCAAAGGAGGGCGTGCCAAAGCTCTGCGGCGCGGGAAGGCGGGGCCGCGCGGGGCGCATTTGGCGGCAGCCCGACAACGACAGCGTAGGGCCACAAGGCAGCCCACAGGCGGCGCCCCCTGCACCCAGCTGGATAATGGTATGGACCAGGCCCCACGCAGCAGGCAGCCGCTGCCGCAGGTTGAGCCAGGCATGGAACCTGAAGCCTGCCTCCTGCCATGTGGACCATGTGGTGCATGCCCCGCAGCCGGCTGCTCACCCCCGTGTCCACGTGCGTCTGCTCGTGCCCCAGCATGCGGCTCAGCCCAAAATCCGCCAGCTTGCACACAAAGCCGCGGCGGTCGTTGCGCACGGAGCGCAGCAGCACGTTGCCGGGCTTGAGGTCGACGTGCACCTGCGGGCGCGGGGGGCGGCGCGTGGTGGTGGTGGTGGGGAGGGGTATGTTTGCGGCGGTGTGGGTGTGCGGGCGTGGAGCGGGCAGCACAGGGCAGCGCAACAGCGCCATTGAGCGAGTGAGCGCGGCGTGGTGGGCAGCAGGCCAGGCGGCTGTGATCAGTGAGGAGCAGGCGGAGCAGCCACCCGCTCCCTCCCCTTGGCCCTGCCGCCGCCGCCGCCGCCGCTGCCGCCAGCCATCTGCCGCCCGCTGCGCTTCACACATACCCCCAGCCACCGCCGCCCGCCCCTCACCATGCCGCAGCTGTGCAGGTAGTCCAGCCCCTGGGCGATGTCCAGCAGGCACTGCAGCACCCAGACGTGGCGCAGCTGCGGGTCGGCGGGCATCCGCCCCCTGCTGCCAATCAGGTCGGCCAGGCTGCCGCGGTCGCAGAGCTCGGTGACCAGCCAGGTCTCGTGGGGGCCCGGCTGCAGCTCGTCCCCGGGGGACACCACCTGGGGGACGAAGAAAAACGAAGAGAAACTGAAGAGAAGGATGGTTGGGTGACAGCGGCGGCAGCACAGCGTAAGGTTGTTGTGCAAAGTGTAAGCCTCCTGTGCATGCCGCGAAGCAAGCGAGGCCGTGCGCAGTTGGGATGCTCACGGCAGCAGCCACACGCCAGCCAGCCAGCCAGCCAGCCAGCCAGCCAGCCAGCCAGCCAGCCTCACCTCTGCCAGCACTGAGCAGCCCCCGTGGCTGGAGTCGGCATCCAAGCTGCTGCGCAGCGTGGGCACCAGCGTGGGCTGCCCCGTGCTGCCGCCGCCGACGCTGCTGCCCTGGCTTCGCCGCGTCAGCTGCGAGGTCGCGCTCGACGGCGGCCCGGCCTGCCCAGCCTGCGCGGCCCGGCTGGCGCCGCGTAGCCGCGCCGCGGCAGACTGATCTGCCAGGTCGGCGGCCGGCTGCTGCTCTGGCGCCTGGCGCGGGGCTGGATGTGCCTCGCTGACCAGCCGCACCACCGACACCTTGTGGGTGGTCAACACGTTGGGGTGGCTCACGCTCATGCTGCAGGGCAGGCGAGGCAGCAGGCAGCGGCAGGTCGGCACCGGTCGAGAGCGCAGCAGCCGAGGGCAGGCCGCATGAGCTGCCAGCAACCACCAGCCAAGGACACACGCAGGCCGGCTGATTGATTCGCAGTCGGGCGGGCCGAGAGCGACGCGGGCTACACTCCGGCTGCAAACACCGGCAGCGAGGCACACAGGCAAGCAGCCAGCCAGGCAGGCAGGCAGACAGGAAGGCAAGCAGGTGCACAGGTGGTGAGCGCCCCCACCTGAGCAGCGGCTCCCGCGCCAGGTCCTGCACCTGCCCCTCCAGGATGTGATGCTCGATGATCTTGACAGCCACAGGCGCGCCCCGCCACCACCCTGCACAGGCACGCCACCACGCACCGCCAGCCCGCCAGCCGCCTGTGAGCAATGCAGCGCTGCTCTGAGGCGCAGGCGGCAGGCGGCAGGCGGCAGGCGCACCCTTGTACACGCGGCCAAAGCTGCCCTTCCCCAGCAGATCGCCCAGCTGCACATCCTCTATGGCGCCCACCCTGCAGGCAGGCAGGCAGGCAGGCAGGCAGGCAGGCAGGCAGGCAGGCACAGGTATTCATTCACATGGAGAGATCGCTGGTGGTGAGCAGCCGACGGATGCATGGGAAGGGGGGGGCAGCATGCAGGCCTGGGCCCTGGCGGCCGCGCCTGCCTTAGCGCCTGCCACCACCACCCACCCGACGCAAGCGCATGCCCGTCACCTGAACTGGCGGAGGTGCACGTCTGCGCTGGTTCGCCGCGCGGCTGAGGGCGCGTCGCTGGCGAGCGAGGCGGGGGGGCCAGTGGGGTCGCTGCGCGGGTCGCTGCTGTGGCCCGAGGCCTGCTGCGGCTCCTCAGAGGCGGTCACCACGATGTCAGACAGGCGGCTGCTGGACAGGCGGCTGCCCTTGGTGAGCTGCTTGTCCCCTGTGGCCTCCGCCTCCGGCGCAGCCGCCGGCGCCGCCGCGAGCGTCTCCGTGCCCAGCCGCCGCTGCCGCCGCCGCCAGTACCCCCCCAGTGCGGCGCCGCCCAGCACCGCCACGCCGGCCACGCTGCCCACCACGGCCCACACCCACGCCTGGGTGCCCGAGCCGCTGCTGCTGGCGGCCTCGCTCGAGGAAGGTGCGGGTGATGTGGCGGCAGGCTCGGCCAGGGAGTCGAAGCAGGTCAGCGTGACGTTGGAGATGTCGAAGAGCGCGGAGCCCACTGCAGGCAGCAGCAGGTACATGGAACCATCAGGAGCGCAGCGCGGCGGGTGGCCATGCAGCAGATTGCTGGGCAGCTGGGGAGCGGCTGCGGCCGCGCCAGCCATCCACCAGCAGGCGCGGGCTGCCTCGCAGCAAGGAGGTGCACCAAGCGCACTACACAAGCGCACCTTGCTGCTTGGCCAGGGTGTCGACGATGGGGATGGGGGAGCCGGGGATGTGGGTGAAGTGGCTGCTCATGCCGCCCAAGTACACAGCGCTGTCGTTGTTGCCCAGAATCTTGGCCAGCCGGCTGATCTCGCCCTGCAGCAGCGGCGGCCACGTGGCAGTCGCATGCGCAGCGGCAGGGGCGGCGGCGGCGTCCTGCAATGCGACCTGCCATGCCGCGCATGCACCACGCTGCCCGGGGCAGCCAAGGTGCGGCCCTGGCAGCGCTGCGCATGCTGCGCACCTCCACCAGCTGGGGGCTGCAGCCCGCCACATCGTGGAAAACGACCGAGTTGTTCACCACAATCTGCGGGAGCAGCAGCGGGGGGGCAGGTAAGTGCAGCGGCCCAGTTCGCTGGCAACAAGGTGCCACCCTGCCTGCTGGTGGGCCGTGCGTCCGGCTCATGCATCCAGCTGGGGAGCAAGGCTGGCTGCGCACGCACCCGGTAGCCCGGGTCGCCGGTGATGGATGGCCACAGGAAGGAGCCCTTGGATTCGATGTTCAGCGATGCCAGGCCGCCGCTGTAAGACGCAGGGTCTGCGGCCAGCAATGGTAAAGCAGCGGGCCACGGGGTGAGTAGCGGGCAAGCTTGGATGGGTGAAGGGGTGGCATGGCAGTGCGGCTGTGGCAGTGGTGTGGCGCTGCCTGGCGCGATCTGCCGGCATGCCGCACTTGCTGACACGATGCCATCCAAGACTAGCGTGCTGCCTGGCTCCAGGTCCAGCACGTTGATAGCCGCTCCCCAGTCCAGCACCGGCACCGTGCCAGGGTTGCCTGTGGGGGATTGGAAGGGGGCAGGGAAGGAGCAGGGACATGAGCGGCACTCATGTGCCCCTAACCTGATGCCAGCATCCCCATGTACAAACGGGCAGCAACCACGGAACGCACCGCCGCGGATCAGCACGGTGGCGTTCTCTGCGATCTGTATTGGCAACTGGAACTGCTGCAAGGCATCTGGGGTCAGCGACACGTCTCCTGCAAGGGGGGGGGGGGGGGGGGCCGGCAGGGGCACTGCGTGAGCTGGCAATCACGGCGCGCAGAGGGTGTGGTGTGCGCAGACGGCAGGGCTGGGGTACAAAATTCCCTGCACCTGCCAGGGTGATGTTACTAATCCCTTGTTCTAAGGCCTGCAGCAGCTCCTGCGCCGTGGCCACGGTGGCAGAGCCTGGGGCCAGCACGGCCGGCGGGGGTGGCGCCGCCATCACAGCGGCGGGCCAGGCAACCAGCGCCAGCAGGCACGCCGCAAGGGCGGCCCTCCACATAGCGCGCTGCAAGGCCTGAGCAGTTCCAAAGCGGAGGTTGGAACGAAGGGTAGCCGCCCACACAAGTGGCGGGTCTCGGCGGCGGCCTTAAGCGCCTGCAAGCTGCTGCCCTACTTGCAAGGGGTTTCCAGAATGCATGCGCGACTTAATGAAGACGCGCAGCCCTCTGCGTTGCGCCTCTAGCTGGTTGCAAGCGCGCCCAGTGTCGGCGAAGCCATGTTCCTGAAAGATAATGCCCTTAAAGACCTCCGACTCCCAGCCTCGACTTGATCAACAGGCTGCAGGGGAACAACAGGCCGCAACCAATTTGGGTCTCACCCGGTGGTACGAGACACGGTTTTCCAGCCTCAGACCCTCGGAAACCAGCGCCAAGGAGGTCAGACTTCATGCGCAGGCGTGGGTCATGTGGGGCGAGTCAGAGCCCGCCTCCTGAGACTGCACCGGTGGGGCCCTTGCTCCGCCGGGGAGCCCTGCGGCACAAGGCTGCGGCGGCGACAGCGCAGGTCAGCATGCAGTGGCGCTGCTTGCACCCGGTGTCTGCCTGGAACCAATGCATTGATGCAGCGGCACCTCTGGGAATTGTGCGGCGCGTGAGCCCGCTCGCCTGCTCCCGCCCGCCACCTGGGCGCCAGCGCTACTCCATTGCACACAGCGCGTGCGGCCGCTCCCCACGCATTTGGCCACCGTGTGTAGGCATCACGCAACATGCAAGAAGGCCAGGGGGATGGAACGGCTCCCGCCGAGCTGCCAGGGCACGACTGAGCCTGGAGAGCAGCTAGGTAGGCCAGCCTGGCTCACGGGCATCAGGCAGCGTGATTGTGTGCGTCTGCGTCGCTGCGGAGCTGTGCCCGGCTGGCGACGTCAAGTTTGCAATTCGAGGGGCGGCTTCGCTTTGCTGTGCAGGCTGCTATGACGCAGCCTTCGCAAGGCCTCCGGGATCTGTTCTATCGCCACTCGGAGCAGCAGCCTGGCGGTGGCGGCGGCGGCGGCGGCAGCGGTGGTGGCAGCTCGAGACAGCCGCTGTGTGTGCTGCCGCAAGACGCAGCCCAGGATCGTCACCCCTTGGGCCTGGCCCGGCAATGCAGGGACGCCTCGCAGGCAGCAACCCGGCCGGCTGCCGCATCATGGCCAAGCGCAGCAAGCCGGCGACAGCCAAGAGCCGAGCAGCGCCAGCGTGAGCGGCCGGTCGGTCCATCATCGCTTGTGGCCCCGCCGCTCGGCCAGCACGGCAGCCAGCCACTCAGTCAGCGCCCACTGCAGCAGCAGCACCCAAATGCAGTGCAGCAGACGCAGCCGCCTGCTGCGCCGCCCTGGTACCAGCAGCACCCACAGCCGGCTGCCGGAGTGTTTTGCCAGCACCCGCCGCCGCCGCAGCAGCAGCAGAAGCAGCAAAGATATCAGCAGCAACACAATGCTGAGCCGCGCAAGCTGCAGCACCCTGGTCCCCCTGCATTTCACCAGCCGGTGCCACCGCAGCCCGTGGAGCAGGTTGTCGCGGGCGTGGTGGCGGCAGCAGCGGCCGGCGCTGCTGCCTCGGGAGCGGGAGGCCCATGGCAGCAGCATGCCGCTCAGCAGCAGCAACAGCAGCACGAGCAGCAGCATGCTCCTGGTCAGCTTCCCACCCCCACAGGGCGGCAGCTCAAGCAGCAGCTCCTGGAGCCGCCACGGTCTTCGCAGCAGCAGCCTGACTGGCTGCGGGCCCACCAGCCGCAGCAGCCACCCGCACAGGCCATGGACTGGGAGCCACAGCAGCTGCCGCCAGGGCCAGCCCCAAGCCATCACCAGCTGCCTGCCCACCAGCCCAACCAGGCGCAGCAGAACGGCCCGCCGCTGTTCTCACACCACCACCCTCCCGCAGCGGGTCCCGCGGTGCCGCCGGCTGTGGGCCAGGCGTGGGCGCGCCCCAAGCAGCCGCTGCGCCTGAAGCTGGAGGAGTGGGCCCTGCCGCCTGGCGTGGTGCAGGTGAGCGCTCGCTCACGCCAACAAGCGCACCGCCCGGCGCCTCCCTCATCCTCGAATTGATTGCCTCCCCAAGCAGCGCTGAGCCCGACAGTGTTTTTCTGCCGGGCGCCCACCCCTTGTTGAGCGCAGGCGTTTGAGGCCCGGGGCGTGCGCAGCATGTACCCTTGGCAGGCGGCGGCGCTGGAGTGCGGCGAGGCCTACAACAATCTGGTGCGGGGACGGGGGCAGGGGCAGGGCCAGCCAGGGCCTCCTTCTGGGGCAGGCAGGCAGTCCTGTCTACTGAGCTCCGCCACCCCTGCGCCCTCCATGGGAGCATTCAATGTGTCGCATTTTGTGCTTGTGTCACCGCAAGCGCCCTGCCTTCCGTTGCACGCCCCACAGGTGTACTGCGCGCCCACCAGCGGCGGCAAGAGCCTGGTGGCGGAGGTGCTGATGGTGCGCCGCCTGCTGGCCAGCGTGCGGCACATCCCGCAGCCCCGCCGCAGCAAGCCGGTGAGCGCAGCGCGGGCCTAGCCTCTGGGGCAGCGGCGGCAGCTCCTACATGTGCTCGCTCGGTGTGGGCGTCGGCGGCCCGGGCGGCACCTGCCCACCCGTATTGCTTCCTGCATGTGCAGAAGTATGGGCGTGCGCTGGTGGTGCTGCCCTACGTGTCCATCGTGTGTGAGAAGAGCGAGCACCTGCAGGCGGTGCTGCGCCCCATGCACGCCGCCGTCAAGGGCTTCTACGGCGGCGAGGAGGGTCAGGCGTTGGGGCCCAGGTGAGGGTTGAGCACAGTGAGCAAGCAGTCACTATGGGGCTTGGGGCCTGGCCCTGTAGGGCTCACAACCACGCCATGCCCTGCATTGATGTATGGACGGAGGGGTGAGCTATGCGCAGGCGAGAGGCGTGTGTTGGGCCTGTGTGCCGCCGCCGTGTGTGCAGGGGCGAGACGGTGGCTGTGTGCACCATCGAAAAGGCAAATGTGGCCATCAACAAGCTGGCGCAGGAGGGGCGCCTGGGTGAGCGGGGCCTGAACTCAGCAGGGCCTTCAACCTGGGGTGGCAGGGTCCATGCAGGTCCATGGAGGGTCCATGCAAGACAACGGAAAGCCCCCTTTGTGTGCCGGCAGGCCTGGCTTCCTGCCTCGCCTCCCTGTCGGCAGCCTCTCGCCGCTCCAGTCGCTGCCCTGCTATCGCCTGCCACCCCGCAGGCGAGCTGTGCTGCGTGGTGGTGGATGAGCTGCACATGGTGTCCGATGGGGACCGGGGCGTCGGGCTGGAGATGAGCCTGAGCAAGCTGCTGTTCTCGCCGCACTCACGCCACGTCCAGATCATCGGCATGAGCGCCACCAGTGAGCGCCCTGCTGGCAGCCGCCGTGTCAGGCAACCGAAAGCACGTTAACTGCATCGTGTGCCGGCTGAATGCTTCCCAAAAGGAGGACCACCGCGAGAGGCGCAACGGCTGTGGCCGCCCTTGCCAGCCAGCCCTGCGCTTGGCTCTCTTGTCGAGCAATACTGCTTCATGCTGAGGTGTGCTGTGCTGCGCCCTGCCTGCTCCCTCTCCGCTTCCCCTCTCCAGTGGGCGGCCTGGAGTCGCTGCGCGCCTGGCTGCGCGCCGAGCTCTTCCTCACCAACTTCCGCCCCGTGCCGCTAACCGAGCACGCCGTGTTCCGGGGCAAGGTGTACCAGAAGGTCGCGCCGCAGGCAAGCAGGAGACGGCCTGCCGGGGGTTGGGCCAGGCAACGGCAGGCAGGAGAACCCGGGTCAGGCTGGCAGAGGCCGGGCCACGTGGCACAGCTTTTCCAGGTGGAGAGCTGGGGTGCCTCCTGGCCTTCCACAGCCTGCTGTGCTGCGGCGCAGGAGCTGGAGGCACTGGAGGAGGGCCACCCGCCGCTGCAGGAGCTGCGGGAGGTGGCCCCCTCGGACAGCAGGCGCGACGCCGACCGGTTGGTGCCGTTGGTGGCGGAGGCCACGGCAGAGGGCCACTCGGTGCTGGTGTTCTGCAGCTCGCGCAGGCAGTGCGAGTCGGCGGCGGCGCTGATCGCCGACCTGCTGCCCCAGGTGGGCGTGGTGCATGGAGGCGGGGACGCGCGCCTGCTGCACTTCCCGGCAAGCAGCGTGCGGCTCGCCGCTGCTTCCCGTCCCGCCGGCTGCCCCAGATCCACCCTCCTCATCGCCGCCTTTCCTGCCTCCTGCCGCTGCCACCACCGCAGGTTGCGCCGCCGCCGGCGGAGCGGCAGGCGGAGCTGGGGGAGCAGCGGGCGGGGATCGTGGCAGACATCAAGATTGCCATGGGCGGCGCCATGGGGGCGGAGCTAGAGAAGTGCATGTTGCGAGGTGGGGCTGGCCGATCGCTTGCATGTCATCCCTCTGGTGGCTCGCAGCAGGCGATGGCGTGGCGTGCTGCACTGCCCTTTGCCTCTTCCTCGCCAGCACCTCTTGAGGGCTGCTCCCTCCCCTGCTGCCGCTGTTCCTGGGTGGCCGGCCCTGCAGGCATCGCCTGGCACCACGCGGGCCTAACTTCAGAGGAGCGGGCGGGCGTGGAGCGGGCCTACCGGTGCAGCGCCGTGTCTGTCATTACTGCCACATCCACGCTGGCGGCGGGCGTCAACCTGCCGGCGCGCCGCGTCATCCTGCGCAGCCTGCACCAGGCCAGTCTGGTGTTGTGTGTGTGCCTGGGGATGACGCGGGAGGCGGGCTCTGATGCCTGGTCCTGTGTGTGCGCCTCTTTGCCAGTTGTGACAGGCCCCCTTCTGGCAGCCCAAGTCTGGTGCACCGCTACCGTGCCACCTGCTGTGACCTGACCTGTGCCACCCTCCTTGCCTGCCTGCAGGGCATTGGCCCTGTGTCCCGCTCGCAGTACCTGCAGATGGTGGGGCGGGCCGGGCGGGCCGGGCACTCGGCGGTGGGCGAGTCCTTCCTGATTGGCAAGGGTGAGAGGCTGGGGCTGGCCTACCCATGTTTGCTTATGTTTCTGTCGTGCGGACTGTGGATGGCCACACCTGGATCCCATGCCTGCCCTGCTGGCTGTCGCCCACCCGTGCAGGCGCCGCCAACAGCCAGGAGTGGCACCAGGTCTGCGCCCTGCTCACCGCCCCCGTCCCCAGCCTCCAGAGCCGGGTGTTGTCAGCGGAGGCCGCCAGCACCATCAGTGAGCTAGCCTGCTGGCAGGGCAGCAGCTGCATTTGCCTCTACTCGATGGTTACACACGTTGCTCTTCCACTGCTGCTGCTTATTAGAGTGTTGCCGTGCTGCATGACCTACCCACCGGCCTGCAGCGTCCAAGGGCGCCGCCGCTTTGGGCGACAAGGACACGCAGCACCTGCAGCAGCTGCTGCTGGAGGGCATTGCCAACGGTACCGTGCGGGACGGCGGCGACGTGGGCCGCCTGGTCTGCAGCACATTTGCAGCTTGCCAGCAGGTAAATGGCCCGCCATGGAGGCTGCAGGCGGCAGGCCGGCTGCGGCGGCCGGTCACCCGAAGTGCTGCGCCTGATGCGCCTGCAGGGACTGGCTGTGATGCGGCCCGCTTCCAAGGTCGCCCTGCGAGCGCTCCTGGACGGCAAGCGCCTGGTTCAGTTCATCCCGGGGCAGGCAAGGCAGTTTTCCTTTGCCAGCTGCCACAAATGCAAACCAGGCTTCATCCCTTGTCCGATCGCAGACATTGGGCTCTTCAGCCCAACACATGCCCTCACCCAACGAGCGGCATGCCTCTCGCAGGAGGGGCAGCACCTGGAGCTTACGCACAAGGGGCGGGCGGTGTACGACAGCGCGCTGCCGCTGGACGACGCCATGCAGCTGTACGAGAGCTGTACCGCAGCCGACAACGGTGAGGGCGGCAGCGGGAGGGCCGGGAACCGTATACTGTACGGCTACCTATTAGCCTGTGTAGATCTAGATCCCCTGTCGAACTGCGTGCTTACCAGTGGCCAACATGCATCCGCTCTTGTCCCCGGCCCGGCCCCTCCCTCCACCCAACCCTGTCCAGGCTTCATGCTGGATCGCCCTCTGGTGCTGGTCTACCACTGCCTGCTGGGCCACCCCTTCCAGATCATCAGCTGGGCGGAGTGGGGGCGCCTGCTGCAGGGCCTGGACAAGCACGAGCAGTGAGGGGCCCTTGTGCTGCACCCCCTGCGACTGTCCCCCAGCTTTGCATTCACCGGTTGGCCTGCTGACGTGCGCAGTCTCAACCCTGCCGCCCCTGCCTTGCGACCTGCAGGCAGATTGCAGAGTCGGTCGGCGTGCTGCCCATGCACGCCCACGCCGCGCAAAGCGGGCGCGCCCCGAGCGCTGAAGTGCACGTAAGCACCCGCTGCAACAGCCCACCACAGCCCCGCACGCCCTTGAGATGCTGCCGGCATGCCCTGAGGAACCTGCAACCGTATTGCACCGCCATGCTGCAGGCGCGCCACGCCCGCATGGCGGCTGCCCTGGCACTCAGCGAGCTGACCCAAGAGAAGGACATCCATGCGGTGGTGCTGAAGTGGGGACGGGAGGGCTTTGTGTCCCGAGGTACGGTTGCTGGCGCTGTGCCTGGGCGCGCTGTTTGCATGCTGCGGTGCCTCTTGATCTTCTTGCCAGGTGGCACGGCCAGATCCAGGTGGCACGCATGGCATCCGCGTTGCAGGCCTGTCGCGCGGCCAGATCCAGAAGCTGCAGCAGGATGCGGGCAAGTGGATGGGCATGGCGGCGCTGCTGTGCGAGAGCGCGGGGTGGTGGCCGCTGGCCACCCTCTACTCCAACCTCTCGCAGGTGGGCGGCTGGGCTGGGATGCGGACGGCGGCGCCTGACACCTTGCCAGCCAAGTACACAGCGCAGCTGGAGGCACCTTGCGTCTCCTTCCGCATGCCAGCCTTCGGCGCACCGCACCTGACAGCACCTTTCCTCCCTTGCCCCTGCCCGCCCGTCCCCTGCCAGATGGCGGCGGCGGGCGTGCGCCAGGACCTGCTGCCGCTCATGCGCATCCCAGACATGGATGCAGCCAAGGCCAGGGCGCTGTTCAAGGCGGGCCTGCGGGATGCGCAGGTGAGGCTCGCAGCGGCCTGCGATGCAGGCCTGTGTAGGCTCCAGGTGTTGCTCACCTCAGAGCCTCACAATGGCCTGCTCATTTTGATGCCGGTTTCAAGGCATGCAGTCATCCGTGCTGTGCTGCAAGCAGGTTGCCAATCGGTACATGCCTCTGGCCTGTCCCTGCAGATGCTGGCCACAGCGGATGAGCAGGCAGTGGCCAGGGCGCTGGCACCCGCCATCGCGCAGCAGATGCGCAGCCGCTCCTCTGGCGGCAAGCAGCAGCAGCAGCAGCGCGGCTCGGGGGCGGCCGCGCTGGCGGCGACGGCCGGCTATGCTGCGGCCGGCATGGCGGCGCGGGCCGCTGGAACTGTGGTGCAGTGCGCCAGGGACCACCTGCGGCAGCAGATGCAGGACCTGGCGGCGCTGGCGGCCGACATTCAGGAGGATGAGGTGGCGGCGGCCGCGGCAGGCACGTCAGCAATGCAACAGTCCGGCCAGCAGCACTTGGAGCTGCCTGCCCTCCATGCAGCCGCAGCAGCTGCTGGGCAGACAGGTCCCCAGCAGCAGGCAAGGCAGCCTGCGGCGATTGCCGCCGGCCAGGATGAGCTATCGCCTGATGAGCTGGCACACATCAGGCGCCAGGTGGCGCAGGTTGCGGGGCCCGGGGGCGCGCTGCCGGGCTCTCCCGACGAGCGGCAGGCGGCAGAGGTCAGCATCGCTCCTGCCGCGAAGCGGGTGTGGACGCAAGGGGTCGTCAGGTGGGGACCGGCTGGGGTGGGGAGCTGCTGGAAGGCTGGCACAACTCCAGGCTTTATTAGCTGCCTGAGCATGATGGGCGCGCGGGATGTGCTGCTGCCGCTGCGTCATTGTGCAGATGTGCTGACATCACGCCGAGATTGCTGCTGCTGCTGCCGCTGCTTGTGTGCAGGGTGACGGAGCTGCGGCCGCGCTCGCCGGCGGCCCAGCTGGCCGATTTCTTTGCCAGCTGGGCAGCTCAGCCCCACTGCTCTCTGGCCCTCCACACCCTGACAGACGAGGAGCTGGCGGCGGCGGCGGCGGCAGCAGCGGCAGGCGGTGCCGGCGGCAAGCAGCGGCCGGAGAGCGCCGGCGCCGGGGCAGGGCGGCTGCAGGGCCTGGCGGTGTGCTGGGACACACAGCACACTTTCTATTTGGAGCTCACAGGCAAGCTTGCAGGCTTGGTACCCTGCCATGGAGCTACAGTGCAGGGCCCCTCTGTATTCCTCCCAGTGGAGCCTTACACAGCCCTGCACCGCCGCTCCTGCCTTCGCTGCAGCCGTGCACTGCGCCCGCGAGCTGCGCCTAGAAGAGGGCGGCGGCGGCGGCGGTGGCGGCGGCGGTGCTGCCGCAACTGTGCTGGATGCTGTGCGTGATGTGCTGGCGCGGCGCTCTTGCAGGCTGGTCTGCTACGGCGCTCTGGAGGCGCTGCCAGAGCTGCTGCGGCAGGGTAGGCTGGGCTTTGCCTGCCGGCCGGTGTGGGCTGTCTGTGAGACACTGCTACCTGGCATCCTGCTGTGGTTGGGCCGCACACACCAGTCTGTGTATGACAAGTGAGCTGATGGGGCCCTCGAGACACAGGTGTGCTGTGTGCTGCAAGCGGCGCCTCCTGTGTGCCACCCGTCACCTTGCGCCGCAGGCGTGGCGCTGGGCGGCCGGCTGGAGGACCTGCGCGTGGCGGCGGCGCTGCTGTGGCCCGACGCCGCCGCTGGCGAGCCTGAAAAGCTGGACCTGCGGCGCCTGCAGGCGGTGGCGGCCCCCGGCTTCAAGGTGCGGCTGGAAGGGTGGGCTGGGTGGGCTACTGGTCGGGCTGACCTCGCACCTGGCTTTCTGCCTCGGCTCACAAGCGGGGACCAACCGTGCTGCCCATCTTCTTCCACATCTTCCAGCCGCTTCACCTGTCGGCCGCTGTGTGTGTGTGACTGCTCGCCTCCCTGCCTCCCTGTCGTGCCTGCCCGCAGGCCCGCGTGCCCAACCTGTGCCGCGGCGGGGTGACCCGCACGTGCCGCGCCGCGGTGCTGGCGCTGGTGTGCATGGACGGCCTGAGGCAGCTGCTGGCGGCACGACGCATGCTGGAGGTACGTATTGTGGTGGAGGGTGGAGGGTGGAGCCATGCTAGCCTTGGCCGCCTGCTTGGCTGTAAGTAACATCTGTCATTGCCCCTCCTTGCCCCGACTCTTGCGCGGGGCCCTGCCTCTCTTGCCGCAGACCTTTCTCAACCTGGAGTGCCCCGCTGTCCAGGTGCTCCTGCACATCAACGCCTCGCAGGCGGCGCCCCGCCTGGCCGCCCCCGCCCTGCACGCCGCGCTGGAGGCGGCGCGGGGCAGCGCCGAGGGCGCGCAGGAGCAGCTGCGGCGCGTGTACTCCATGCCGCGCCTGGATCTGGGCAGCAACGACACCATGATGCAGCTGCTGGGTGAGGTCAGGGCGGGGCAGGAAAAAGGAAAAACAGGATCTCGAAGAACAGGGCTGTGCACGTGCTTAGAGATGGGTCGTTTGGAGCAGCGCCCCGCTCGGGGCGCCTGGCGGGCTGGTGTCGAGCCTGGCTTGTTGGATGCTGCTCGCCCGCAGGCTCGCTCAAGATGGCGCTGCCGGAGAGGAAGAGGGGTGTGTGCCCTGTGGTGACGCTGGATCACCTGCAGGACCTGCTGCGGCGCTGCCGCCCGCACCAGCAGCGGCAGCGGCAGGCGCTGGCCGCCATGGTGCAGCACAAGGCCCTGGCGCAGCACCTGCTGGAGCCGCTGCAAGCGCTGCTGGAGCTGGCGGCAGGCGTGGCGCCAAGGGCGGCGCCAGGCGCCGGCCAGCGGCCGGGAAGTGCGGGCGCAAGAGCTGCTGCCATTGCGGCGGCTGCGCAGCCGTGGCAGGGGCAGGGCCAAGCGGTGCGGCTTCGGCTGGAGACGTGCAGCGCCACGGGGCGGCTGTCCTATGGGCCACACCTGGACAGCCGGCTGGCGGCGCTGCTGGCGGCAGATTGGTGCCCCTTCCTGGCCTGCGGCTGCAACCTCAGCGTGCAGGCTGAGCTCGAGGGTGGCAGCCTCACAGAGGAAGCGGTGGCAGCTGCTTGCAGGAGCAGCGGCGGAGCGCTGCCCGTGGCCCTGTGTGTGCCACGGTGCCAGCTGTCGGCACGCTCGAGCAGCAGCTCTGCCGCCGCAGCAGCAGCAGCCGCAGCAGCGTCGGATCCATTCGGCGATGTGCCTCCAGAGGAGGTGGAGGAGCAGCAGCAGGTGTGGGTGGCCGGCCTGCTGACCGCCGTCGTGGGCAAGCGGCTGTGCACAGCTCTGGACTTTGGTGCGCAGCAGGAGCAGCCTCATGGGGCGGACGGCTCCAGCAGCAGCCAGAGGGCACGACTGGCCCGGGTGCGGGTGCCCATGCTGCCAGCTGAAGACAGCCGGCTCGACAGCGCCGCCGCCGGCGGCTCCTGGCCGGCGGCTCCCTCCACAGTAGAGCTTCAGTGGTCGTGCGACCAACTGTGGCGGCTGGCCGGGCCCTCTGCCGCCGTGCTTGTTGGCGGCTCCGGCACTGGTGGCATCGTCAGCGGCACAGGTGGCAGCGGGGGCTCAGGCGGGGGGCATCAGCAGCGGCGGCAGCAGTCAGGGGCAGCGGCAGCCTGCGAGGCAGCAGCAGCGCCGCCCCTGCCGGGTCCACAGGTCAGCTGGGGGCTCCACGGCTACTGCTCCGGGGCGGCGGTCTTTGCAGCGTCCAGGCACGGCGTGGCGGAGGCCGGGCATGCGGCAGAGAGCGGACGACGCCACAAAGCGCCTTCACTGCAGCAGCAGCAGGTATTACAGGAGCCCGCAGCTGCTGTTGCAGGCTTTGCTCCTCACAGCGGCGGCAGCCAGGGTGGGCTGCTTGTGCGTGTGGAGCTGCAGCACCTGGAGCTGGCGGTGTTGGCGCACCTGAGCGGCCAGCCCGAGCTGCAGGCAGCCTGCCGCAGCGGCGCCGGCGCCTACCAGCACACCAGCAACTGCTGGGCGGCGGCGGCCGGGCAGGTGGAGGTGCCGGGGGCGGGCAACGGTGGCGACGCGGGTGGCGCCCTGGGGCCGCCACCCTTGCTCATCACGGCGGGTGTGGCAACGGCGGTGGCGCGGTGCTTGGCGCACAGCTGGAGCAGCAAGAAGCTTGGGTGGCTGCTGCGCTGCCCTCGGCACGCGGCGGCTGCGGCCGTGGAAAGCTTCCTGGCCGCGTTCCCACGGCTCAAGGCATACCTTGCAGAGGCGGCAGCCGCCGCAGAGGCGGCCTGCTGCGCCGCCACGCTGGCTGGGCGGCAGCAGCAGTTTGGCGCGCTGAAGAGGCAGGAGGATGCCATGGTGAGTGGCCTGCCGCTGTGTGTGAGTGGGTTGTCCGTTGGGGCGCCCAGCTCCCAAATTGCGGTCGCCCCAGTATCCTGTTGCACTGCCGTCGACTGGCCGCCCGTGGTGCACCTCCTGCAGGGCCGCGGCAAGCTGCACAAGGCGATCCTGGTGCATGTGCTGGGCGGCTCGCTGGCGGATGTGATGAAGGCAGCGGTTGTCAGCACGCACGCAGCGCTGGCAGGCCTTGGCCCCAGCTGCGGTCCCCGCGGCGACAGCCCCGGCGCCCAGCAACCCCAGGGGCCCCAGGTGGCGCTGGTGCTAGGGCACAGCATTGTGCTTCACCTGCCCTCCGCCTTCCTGGCTGCCCACGGCGGCAGTCCTGGCGCGGCGTCCGCCGCCGTCGGCGCCGCCGTGCTGCCGGGCCTGCGGTCGCTGTATGTGGGGCGTGCAACGCTGTCGGTGCCCCTGGGCGCGCGCCTGATGGCTGGGCCCTCCCTGCACCTGTTTGACCAGCAGCCGACGCCGCCTGCTGCGCCTCGGTGAGCGCGAGTGCCGGGAACCCGTGCAGTGCGGGACACCGGCAACCACAGCAGATACAGCTTGTACCATACGGCACCTCACAGTTTTCGCTTGCGCCCTAATTCTTTGCCGTTTATATGTGAGCACACGCACTGACTCCACGCTCTGCCATTCGTCACTGGGATAGTTCTGCAAGGACGCTGCAAGTGCAAGCAAGAATGCGGCGCCACGGCCCGCCGCGGCCAGGCGGTGGCGCCATGTGGCCTGGAGTCTGTCATGCGTGCATGTATCGCGAGCATTCTCGCTGTAGGGGTGGCACATCCACCTCCCCTCTCGTTCATTACAGAGGCTGCTCCACACAGGCACCTGCGAGAGCACAGCTTTGATCGGCTGCCATTTCCCTCGTTCCCCGCTCCATCGCGGTGCCCGACGGCCAATTGGCAGCTGCTGGGTCCCGAGGATGGAGCCTCGATTGAACACGGACTACCCCCTGCAGCTGGGCGCCTCGCTGCTGGGCAAGCGCACGGCCCAGGGGGCTGCGGTGGAGGAGTACTGCACGCTGCGCTACGACTTTAAGCCCGCCAGCGCGGGAAGGGCGTCGCAGGGGCAGATGGAGGTGCAGGCGAGCAACCAGGTGTGCGGCGCGGGCGGCGGCGGTGGCGGGTGGCGGCAGCCTTGCAGGTCGCAGCAGGCTCTTGCTACTGCCGTTCACGCAGAGAGCAAGCCAGAACAAGCACCCTGATGCGGGCACCCACCTGCCGACCTCCATGCTGCTGCTGCCTCCTCGCAACCAGGACACGCCTAGCTCGCCTGCCGCCTATGCTGCTGCTGCCTCCTCGCAACCTGGGCACCCCTTGCGCGCCCCCCCCCCCCCA